CCTGGGCCGAGCGGTGTAGGCGGCGTCACTGCATTTGTGACTAAATGCACGCTGTATGAGACTGGTGACAACAACGCGCAGCACACACGCATTAGCCAGCGCGGCCTAACTGGGGGCCACAACCATCTGGTCAGCGCCAGCTCGAGACGTGCGGCCAACACTGAGACAGCCGTAGGTCAGCACGACCCCCCCCCCCCCCTTCAAGGCTCCCGTCTCGGGCGAGCCAGTGGAGCAGGGAGGTGGCTGGTGACGGCCGGCTGGGGCTCACCTATGCGCTTGACGTCCACCAGTGGCTGCTTGATCCACTGAGCCAACAGCCGGGAGCCCTGCGGTGTGCGGCAGCGGTTGAGCAAGCCCAGAAGACTGTGTGAGGCGGCCGTGTCCTGGCGGGGCGGGACGGGGAGGGCGGGGCAGGCCGGTTAGGCGGCGTCGGTACCATCGGACCGCTCCTAATCAGCCAACACCAGTGCCTATCGGACGGCTTCCAATCAGGCAGCACCAGTGCCATCGGACGGCTTCCAATCAGGCAGCACCAGTACCATTGGACGGCTTCGAATCAGGCGGCGCCAGTACCATCGGACAGTTCCGAATCATGCGGCGCCAGTACCATCGGACAGCTTCGAATCAGGTGGCGCCAGTACCATTGGACAGCTCCGAACCAGGTGGCACCAGTACCATCGGACAGCTCCGAATCATGCGGCGCCAGTACCATTGGACAGCTCCGAATCATGCGGCGCCAGTACCATTGGACAGCTCCGAACCATGTACACACGGCACACGTATCTCAGTCATGGGTCTGCCTCAGACGTGCAGGGGAAAGGAATCCAGGCGGAGCGTGCCTCGTCAATGGGTGCAACACATGCTTGACACATCCGCATTAGCATAAGACACGAGTGTAGCCGCTGATTAGCAGTATGACATTTCATGAAGGAAAAACTAATCTCATGGAAAATGTGATGCATGCACACTGCAACCATGGTCAGCATGCTCCCAATTCTTTCACACACTAAGAAACAAGCCAGCTTAGGCTCGCGCGTGTGTCCCCAACCACACCGTCCACACTGGATTTGCGCCGATAATGATCCAAAACGCGTAGATCAAAGACTGAACACTAACAACGAGGTCATCCCGCGTATATTTACAACGCTGGATGGACATTCCGTGATTCGCCGCAGGGTTCGGTGATGCATCGCACAAAAGGCACTGGTAAACCAAACAACGGACGACTTCAAAAGCACCTAGCCCCATCCCCCAGCAGTGATCATCCACACCGGTGGTAAGGTGTGCCATGGCCAGCTGGGCTCGTATCGAGGGTTTCCGTGAAAGCAGAGCCTACTGCCACGGACGTACGAGCTCAGCGCAAGCTCGGCTTCGCACCCCGGCCCCGCCTTCCTCCGGCGCAGCCCGGCCGTACCTGTGACGTCGGCAGCAGGTTGAAGGCCTCGACGGCCGCCGAGTCCAGCCGCATGTACTGGGTCAGGTCAAACGTGCTCAGACTGAACTGGCCCATGTTTTGTTCGTCAGCCAGTAGCTGCGGGCAGAACAAGCGCGATTTAAGGGCCGGGCAACGCAGCAACGACGCGATCAGAATCGCTGTAACTTAACGCCACGGAAGGATATCGAACCAAATATGTATGAAGTAGAACAAGTTGGCGATAGCCACATATCCGCATGGTGCTCGACTGACACTGTCTTTTGTGAACAGCTCTCATGTAAACGATCACAAGACACATTGCTAATGATATTCACATGCAGTTGTCGCGGCGAAAGACGCTATCAGCGGAGCAGGAAGCAGCCACACTAGTAAAACTGAGGACTCAGCGGCCGCAGAGGCGCAGCAAGCGCACCTTTCCTCCAGCAATTCGCCGGCCCCTCCCGAGAAACCTCTGCATCCACGCACCAGCCAGCGCGCACCGCGCGGTCCCACCCACGGGCATCATCCCCCCGCCCCCCTGACCGCCGCACCTGCAGGTACTTGATGAGCGCGGCGGTGGCGGCCATGGCCAGCGGGCGGCCCGTCTCCGGCAGCAGGGCCGCGTCCGGCCTGGCGGCCCTTGCCGAACTTGAGAAGGCGGCTGAGGTCGGGCACCACGTCACGGGAGGTGAAGTCGGCCCGCTTCAGCTCCGTCAGCAGCACCCCACTGCGCTCCATCATCTGGTAATGGTGACAGCCCTCTGAGCTCTGCTGCCCTCGCGCTCAGGGACAGGCCTGTTCGGGCTCGAGTCGTGATGTCGCGCGCTCAGCTGGCCTGCTGATGCCGTGATTATCATCGCACCACAGACACTGTCCGCTGGCCGTAGAACATACTCAGGTGACCGAGATATCGAAAAGGTACATAGCACTGGTCGCATCAGGCCGGGCTGGGACCGAGTGTGGGCCCAGGCTGCCAGGGTGACGGCCGTGCCCGCGGACCTGTTTGACGGCGTCGGCAGCCGGGTCTCCGGCAGAAACGAGGCACTCCTTCGGCCCCAGCTGGACGAGAAGGGCCTCCAGGTTTGACAGAGAGGCGCTGTCGGCGAACTCGGCCACCAGGAACTGCTGCAGCGTGGCGTCGCCCAGAGCGGCACCCACCGTCTGTAGACGGATGGCATGGCACAGGGTTAGTGTCTGTACAGAAATGCTGGTGTCTGCGCGGGCAGCGTTCGCCGTCTGCTGATCGGCACGTTCGATACTGCCACTGTCGAATGCGAGCCGTTTTCCTTGGTCCGCAAGTGAGTGTGGCTGGTTGGTTGCTGTTGTTTGTTGCCATCAGATGCCATCTCATACATATGCATTACATATATAATATAAGCATCCTGCAGAATTGGCAATGTGGACAGACAGCCTATCGAACATTCCAAATGTCCGTTCAAACTAATGTAGATAAACCTTATAAACATGGTTGTGGCGTGATCAGATGGTTCTGCTAACCACATGGACATTACGGAATACTCCGCCCCTTTGCCACCTGTCAAGTACAAATATATTCTCCAGTCCACAGCTTCCTTCATCGATCCCGGGACCAGCAATTCTGTCCCACCGTCGCCTCGCCGGCCCACTCTAAGGGCACCGCAGCGGGCCGTACTCTCGGCCTCTCTCTCGGCTCTCTCTCACCGTCCCACCGTCCTGCTGAGTCACCCTGACGGCTAACACGCCGCTGCTCTCCTGCATGCCGCCGGCGCCGAACAGCAGCTCCTCGAACTGGGTCAGGTTGCCCGGCGAGCCCTGCGCGCAGCCGGCCGCGGCACTCAGCCCGACGCAAGCCACGGGCGGAGGTGCGTGTCGCCACGCGAGGGACGGCGCTGAATGTATCACGGTAACGATCGGGTTCGCCACATTCACAGCTATAGTGAAGGTGATCTCCAATAAGCCCCGGTGCAGAACACTGAAAACAAGCCCAAAAAATATACATTAGTTGGCTACACTTTCCTGGATAGGCGGTCACTGCTGTGGAAACACATCTAAAGAAAGGATGGTATGCAACGTTGACCACAAATCCATCTGGTACGAGGTAGCAACCTGGAACTCCAGCTTCCAGTCACTGCTGGTCTTGATGTTGCTGCCCTGGCAGCGGTACACCTCCACGCGGTAGCGCAGCACCAGTAGCAGCTCGCGCACGAAGCTCTCGAAGTTCAACTTGCTGAGCGTCACATAGTCCAGCTTGTGCTCCCCTGCCAGCGTTAAACGAGTGTCACCAACCGCTGACAGGGTGTGGCAGTGACACGGATGGCATGAAAACGACTGGAGAATATAGACCAGCCTGACTTTAGGCGATTACTCGATGTCGGTACACTGAGCGCACATCCCAGCTACAGTTTGGCCAGATCCGGCACACCACTCTAGCACTCAGTCAACGCTGACCCAGACGGAGGAACACTGGTGAACAGGCGGCGGTGGTCGGTGCATTACCCTCGCGGAACTGTCGGATGACGGAGGCCGTCTTGAACACGCGTCGCGCCGCCACATGCGCGTCCTCGCCGTGCACTGTGTAAAAGTCATTACGGTCGAACAGGCGTATCGTCGTCGACGGTTTCTGGAACAAATAGCGCCAATAGTGCCTTTGTGAGGAAAGTTTTAGAAGCAATGGTTTTGACTGGATGCTGAGTTATGTAGGAACATCAAATATCACACAGCAATGCATACCAGTGCTTAAAAGTTTGCATATAGGGTGAATATATTCAATGTAGTGTATTCCTACATGCAAGAGCAATCACAAAGGACCTATGAATGTTGTTTGCACCAAGTATTAAAGCCCTTACCTCTGGGAGCTTCCGGAAAAATGACTGAAAGCCTTTCTCCTGAGATGCATCTGGCAAACAAATAGTTGGTTAGAATATCATTTTTGGCAAACGTAAATGCACCTGCATTTTACAATTTATCAACAAAAGAGTAGCACATCATTGCAATGAGCTGCCCAATAAAATTGTCAGTATTAGCTCATTATTTTTTTTAAGAGGACACAAATATGTCATAGAAACAAGAACAACTTTTGCATCTTCCAGGGATACAAACTAACAGTATGCATTTTAAATTAATGCATTTGAGAATTGAATGACTGGCATGCAAATGCCCCTCAAAATGACATAGTTCTTCAAATTTCAGCTGAAGATCTGTCGCCATCCCCTGAGTCCTCTATACATTCTTGACATGAAAGTAGGTGAGTGACAGAAACATGCATGAAGTGAAAACAAAATGCATGGAATAAACATAAATCCTACCCCAGGGCCAAATACACAGTCTATCTGGGAAACCAGGCTGGAATTAAGACATTGGGTTATCATGCTTGTGTGCCTGTGTGCTCTCATGATTGTGCTTGACCCGTGTCCTGCTTACAGGGAAAATGCAGTAGATAAATATTAATGTAACCATTTAGGAGTTAATTTTAACTTATTCATTGTCAATAATAAAACATTTCTGTGATGGAAGACATCATCACAAATGCAACCATCATTGAATGACCAACAGTTTGATAAGATAAGCCTGAGCTGGTTCACTACCTGAAAAATACTTCTTGTTGCCTAGCATGCCAGAGGGCAAATGTGCTGTGCAGCATATTTTAGAGCTTACCTGAGAGTTCCTTTTGAATTGGCAGAAGTGATGCCATATTAATGTCTTCAGTCAATGGCCCAACTCCTGTCAAAACACATAGGTAACTAACACATTCAAAGCCAAGTGCTAGGCATAACAGTACATTCCTTTAATAGCCCCAGCGGCATGCCTTATGGCAAGATTCATCACGGTAATATCAATATCATCTTCCTGGATGTTCAACTTTGCACTGTAACCACAAACATTACAACAATAACAATGCAGACAACACCATTTCAGTCAATGAAGTGGTCAAACCAAGCAAGTGCACACATTTTCCCAGACAGGAGTTTTTCAGGTATCATTGCAGGTAATGATAGCTTGTGCCCATTTCAGGCCTACCAAAGCTCATAAGGCGTAGTCAAAAAGGCAAGCAAGTAGGTAAGTACGAAGTAATTGAATCTACCCACCTACCTACTACCGAGTACAACAGGTGCCTTTTAGTTAAATTTTAGCATGCACACGGAGCATGCATGCTGCAAACATTCTGAACAGCACTGCTATTTTACAGGAAACAGTTCAGCACGACCTGAACTGTCCAAATTGTCCAAAGGTACCAATAAATCAGAAATGTATTCGACTCTAATGCCTACACACAGAATACCACGCACAACGACGGTCGGGCCACGGTGCTCCCATGCAATCCAGGCTCATAGCACCACGCGGGAGCCACGGCACGGTCTAGAATGGTACAATAACACCGCAAGTGGGACAAAATATTGCCAAGATCGCGCCAAGGAAAGAAACCAAACGACCATATACAAAAGTTGCACTTAGCGCTGGTCCACTAACAGATTGTCTGTTCCATTCGTTCCTAGAAATGGATATAAAATTGGTTGAGTATCATTCAGACTCACATGAAAAAGCAAACGGATTCCAAAAATTTTAATGATCAGAAAACTGGGTTCACAGAACGACTGAACATTGGATCCCAAAAACGAGTTAAGGGGCCATCCGTGTGTTACGTTCGTATGTTACGCTACTCACGGATGTGGAGGAGGGTTTTGACGTAGTGTAACCCACGTGTAATATGGGAAGGGGTATTGACGGAGGAACATTACGCCAAGAGGCGGTCGCAAATCATGCCTAAGCCTCTTAAAAGTGTTTAAAAGCTCCAAACTGGATACTTATGGTTTCTCCAATGGCAAGCACATACCGTCTTTGCTTCCCACCTCTCGCTTATGCTGGTGTCAAGCGGATTGGTTCCTGTTTGGAACGCTACGCTTAATGCGGTATAACCAGGATTGTGGGGGTCGCCAGGTGTCATCAGTCTGTAGCCGGGGAACGACGTTGAACAATGGTTAGAAAACGTAAAGTGACTAATCGACGGCTTCCAACAGGCACCGGGCGGAAGAGACGGAAACAAGCGGCGTAGCCAAGGCGAAGGTGACTGCCTTCCCTCTCTTAGGGTGTATTGTTTGGTTTGTTTTTATCGTTTTAGATGGCTTTTGACAGAAAGTGAAAAATCAGCGTGATGCGTTCTTGACGAGCACCATCTCGCCCCGTCAAGAAAATATTGGCCGCGCCCCTGATGAAAGGCATGCGCGTAAGGTGATAGACGTTGCATAACGCTGTTCTCAAATCGCTGGTATGTGAGTGGATACAATGACAAAAGAACCTGGGTGGGGTGGGGCAGCGACCCTACAGCTTTGGCAAAACCTTGCATTTACCCCTCTAATTCAGGATGCAAATTTATCATTGGGACATTCTAAAGGAGAAGGAACATTTCAAAAAGTCGGGGAACAAGACTCAGAGATGTAGTTGCGTCCAAGTTGCGCCCTGTTTTGATCTGGGGTCAACAGCACGGGTCAGCAGGCCTCCCGCGTCAGGGAGGGGAACAATGCGATGTGCTATATCCCTCTAAGGGCCTCCGGATCGCCCAGGGGATCCCGCCAGAATGTGTCGCCAGAATGACAGCTGGAGACACTCCGCGATGAGGCGGATGGCCGCCCAGCCCTGGACCGGGAGCAGTAATGTGCCCCTAGTGTTCTACGCAAGGGACCCTCTGCCCGCAAGGAAATACAGAATCTCATTATTGTTGAAGAAAGTAGGTTGAAATGAGTTCAATAACTTACAATGCCATCCTATGTTTGCCTGAAAACGTTCATGCTTTTGTAGAATCGATTATTGAAACAAATTAGATCAAAAGGTTTGAACATGCGCACCCGCAATTTTAGGAGAAGGGACAGTGATAGTGCGGGTTGCAGCTTCCGTGAAACAGAACGGCGTTGGCCGCTGCAAATGGCATCAGGCGGCGGGCGGTGGGTTATTCTGTCCTCTGGTCAAATCAACAGTTACAGCAAGTCCAGGTCAGATTAACAGCCACAGAAACACAAAAAATAAATATTTTACCTTCAGCCTTCAAGCCTCACCAATAGATTTCAGCACCACTTCGCAGTTCTGTAAGGGCGTGGGAGGCTGCCGTCATGAGAGGGAGCCAATGGTGTAACTTTATAATTTTTATTTCAATCATTTTTTACGCGGTGCGTTTACATCTGAGCGTAACATAACACTGCCAAAAATCACCTCCCTGCGTTGCATGCTTCCGTTACGCTCTATCCACCTCTTCCCCCCGGCATGAGAAATGCTACATACCCCATTATCTCTATGATTGAATGGCAAAGCATGGCTTTAATAAGAGCCTTTCGTGTCCAAATCTGCGTGAATTCTCGCGCAACTGTACAAATCATAGAAATGGATTCCAAGGCCTACATCTGAAGTCTTGGACTTCAAATCTTTCGGTATCAAAAATGGAAACCCTAGTTTTGCCAGAGGGTGCTCTAAGATTCATATTGATTCGTGCCTAATCGTCTTACAGAAGTATGATCGCTGCTTTGCGTTCTGAAAGGATCTTCCAGGATCAATTTAAAACACATTTTACACGATCATCTCGGATCTATTTGGTACAGCCTGTTAAGCCTCGACCTTTTGGCTTTGGCCAAAGAGAAGTGAAGATGGGCTTTTTTTCATCCAAAGCGCAAGACGGGAAAGTTAAGAAGACCAAAATCGAGTAGCTCCATTACGTCTTTGTCCTGGCATGGCGCACTCGAAGGCCTCTGCGTTGCCAATAACTATACATTCTGTTTAAACTTTGGTCTCGATATCTTGGCCTGGCCATGATAATGCAGGCCGACAATAACTGGACACCACATCGGAAGAGCATCATCGAACCACTTAGGGCACAATCATAGACTCTGACCCACTCAGGTCACGATCTTATGCGCTGCCTCGACCGCTTTGAGAAGAACGGTAGCCGTGCAGCCGCGGTGTCACCAGCCGTGCGACGTCTTTCTCCCGCCATGCCATCACAGGATTGTTTACATAGAACGTCCGGCTTGCGCGTGGACCGAGGGGCGGCAGAGGCAGTCGGGCTGCTCATCCGGAGAGGTAAGGCGCGGGCCGGGATGGCCACTTAGCATTGTCCGATAGGAGAGAGCGAAACACTCAGATGAATTAGATCGTGTATTTTGAGAAATTTACGCACCATCTGGGACATTCACTTAATCTCAACAGCTGGTGTTTCCAGATGCCCTTTTACGAGGACTGAAATGTCGCCCACAGGCATTATGCCGGCGACGTTTTCACTTGCTGTGTCCGGGGTTTGGCCGTTTTCCGTGCTATAAGCATAACAGTACGTAAAGTTCTTTCGCAGATCTTTAAATTTTGATCACTGCTGAACGTCCCGTCTGAAGCTTCTCTGGACCACATGCCACAACAGCAATTAAGGGCTTACGGGCTTCCTTCACCAAGCAAAAGCGGATAGTGGTAGACATTACTCATGCAGGTTAATATTTTGCTCTGGTCTGATGGCATTGTGAGCTTCGATGCACACAAAACGCTAGCGTTAATAAGTGGTGCTTACATCAAGCTTTCCGTGACTATTAGGTCCATATACGATCTGCTGCGAGAAGGCAACAGCTACAGATTGCACTTTCTGTTTTTTCGGGGGCGGGGGGATTCAGATCTGAGACCCTGGGCGTGGAGGAGAGCAGCGCCATTGCGAACGAGGCCGTCGTAACTGGGGCCCCGTTGCTGCCACCAGGTGGCACTGGATCACATCGGCAGTGGCTTGGTGCGGGCTCAGAGAGCCTCCCTGCGCATCACGGCCCTGGTATGGTGATCGGCCATCACGAATCGCACAGATCGCGCAAGAATGGCCACATTCCGCCGCCAAAATGGATCTCGGCAGCGGGTATCTGCGCCACGCTTGCCGCTTTCCTGTAACAGTCAATAAGACTACAGTTGCGCCTCCGCAGCCGAGTCCAATGCGATGAAGACGAGTACTTTAGCTGACCACTACCGTGGTTGCATTGAAGCTCACTTTAATGATACTGAATAGCTACATAGCCTCAAGACGGGAAAGCATTTTAGTTTTACGAATTGAACTTAGCTTTCATCCAGTGTTATTTGCCTATCTTCAACTTCTTCATTTGTTGCGCGTCACCCTCATGGAGTGCTTCAACCGCAACATATTTCACAGACTAGCGTAATTTAGCAAGGCTTAGGTATGATGTCAAGTGTGCAATGTTTGAGGATCCTGCACGCATGCATCACAGGCAAGATGCACCCTGTTGGCAAACAAAAACATCACCGCAGTTTAAGACCAGCACTCCACAGGCCGCAGTATGAACAGGTCCGGTATTTGCTGAGACGCATACAGCTTATGATCCGTCAGAATCTCACAAGTGCGCACACGTAGGACTTGAGCACTTTTTTGTTTTAGTTTGTGCTTTTCAAAATGCCGTTGGGTGTTGGACGTAACTTTGACAAAGCACGGAATCGTCTATGGCTTCTACATTTCAGTGATTTAACGAACAAGCCACACATTTAATCACCAGTTGTACTAAGCTTCAAAAAGTTAAGGTACAAATATCTGCCATGTTAGATGTTTTTGTGCATAGCAGTTGCGAAATGCACATCTCATGAGTGCTGATGGTCAGACACGGTCAGCAATTTTTCTATGGGGAACTATCGCAATGGACCTATTTCAAGCAAGATTTGCGTAACTGACAGCTCTTTGGACCCTGTTATGAGCATATAGCTACGTGTGAACACGTCATGGATGTATAAATAGATCCAGGTGCTCGACAAACGGAGGCGCAGTTCCTGCAGATAACTATGTCCGCCTTCTGACTCAACGGCAGTACGATCATATAAATGAACGGCCCGTGCTGAGCCACGTAAGCAGAGGAGTTTAGCAGCACTAGACGGCACCAGTTTTGCCAACGTCCCCACACGCCCGCGATGGCTGTGTCGGGCGAGCGGCCGCACCTCTTTGCATGTGTGGCCATGCCCGCAGGCGTCGCCGCCAATCGGATCATGGAGCCGGGGCCGGCCGCGAGCGCGCGTCCAATGACCCGCCGCCAGTGGGTGACGCTGCTCACGTTCGGCCTGGTGGACTTCTGGTCGGCCGTCTGCCTCTCTCTGCAGGCGCCCCTCTTCCCGAGCGAGGTGCCGTTACCCGTGCTGAGAGGCGCTCCCCGTCCTGCAGATTGGACGTGCAGCGCGCCCGTTATTGTGTCACATGCATGCGCGGTGTCTGCTGATGCAGGCCGGAATCCGGTGCAGCCTGCAAAGGCGGAGGCGGCTCCCACAGCCGAAACATAGTCGAAACAGTTTTTCAGTGAGTTGGTCCATGGAGCGAACCGAGCTGTTGCGACGCATTCTACCGTTCGCATGCGAAGGGTATGCAAAGATTCTCATTTCAACATTATCAACTCACTTACGTTACGTCATCAGCGTAGAGCTTCCATCGTCAGTTATAAAATTCGAGGGCTCGATTTCCTGCATTAGCGTTCGAACATTTCGGGGGGGGGGGGGGTGAGGGGAGATTCCGACGTGAGGGGAAAACTGTCTTGCGATCCGGCAAGACGGTGCTATGGCGACGAAGCGCACGTGAAAACGTCATGGAAAAAGATAAACATGCAGTGAGACGATCTGGGGAGACGCTTGCCGTAAAACTTAAGCTGTGCAGCTGTGCGCCTCATGAAACAGCACGTGTTTGCGCCAATTCAGCCAGACTTGGAAGGAAAGCCTGTGCTGCAGCAAGCAGGCCGATCGGCAATAGTCGGAGAAGGGCCTTGGTTCAATGCTACGCCCTACCACGTCTACGGTATTCTGCTCCTCGAGAGCTTGTGATTGCATATACAGAAGCTCTTCTGACCCTCGGCATCTGAGGCTCTAACTTCTCAGTGAAGGTATCGGAAAATTTGGACGCTTATTGATGGTTGGAGCTAATATGACGCGGAAATCAATGGGCTAACACCTGTCTCATCACTGATAAACTCACAGATCACACAAAACACTTTCAAGGTCAATCAAATATTGATAGGGTCTCGTAACATTACGGACGAACGAACGGAACACAGCTGAAACGACCATGCTCTTGAGCTTCATAATCAAATCGCGATGCCGAGACAGCAAGGTGCCAAAGTCAGCTCACCTCATTATGTTTTTTTAAATAATTTCTTCTGTTGACTTGGTTTACATGACACAGAAGTCGTCGGTTTGGCAATGTGCCAGTTTTACCGACCGCTGCACAACAAAAGCTAAGCGGTGTAACCCATCATTCGGGTCCGATTCTGACAGGCTGCCCTCTCGTGACATTTCATGATGAGTTGTTGTGAATACAAATAGAATGATTGATCTAAAAGGACATAAAGTCAAGCCGTTCGATGAACTAATTGGAGGCAATCCAGACTGAAACTTGGTGACCTGACTGGTATAATTCGGAAGTTTTTCCTAACACTCGGACGGATGCTTTCCTCACCCCTCACCCACTCAGTCGTGTGCTAGTCATTTGTCTGCAACAGCCTATACCCATGATTATTTTTGAGCCCTTGGTCATGGCTATACAAAACGGTCATGGGACGCATCGATTTCGAACACTATATTCCCAGGCGGCAAAGAAAGGTGCCACCGCCAGCGAGTACGGCCTGATATTCGGCACGTTCGAGCTAACGAAGTTTATCGTTTGTCCTCTGCTCGGGAGATATGTAAGTACGGAGCGCAGTTGCAGCCATATCCTTATAACTCATGCCACTACTTGCATTTCCCTGGAAGCATGAGCAATAATGAGAAACTTTGATGTGTTTCGTCTGAGTTAGACTGGATGCATGTATTTAGTTCACAGTAAACTGTCCTCTAAAATATCCATTAAATTCTGGTCCTTTCACAGAATTTGGCACACATCTGTAATATGAGGCATAAGCGCAGCGAGTCACGTGTCGGTCGATGCTGCCTAAAGCAAGCTGCAGTAACTTAAACCGATGTTCATCTGCCCTCTTCCTCACAGTTGCACAAGATTGGACCAAAAGTTGTGTTCAACGGAGGAATATTTATTACCTCATCTTGCGCAATTGCATATGGGTGAGTATCCCCCCCACGGAAACAATTTATACCATGAACCATGCATGTTTGTCACTTCCGCATG